TAAAATGTTCTACATACAAAATAAAACTTACCATTTTAGCCACATAGTTCAGTGTTAGTAAATATATCACAACGTAAAACTACTTACAATGATATTTTCTAAGTCATAACCAATGAAACAAAAATACTACATTCCAGGTATGTTAACACCTTTTCTATTTCCCTAGGAAATACAGTTGAAATTTTGAGAATTTGGAATTTGCATAATGACTTGAAAAGATTCACATCCTCCTATCTAGGAACATGTTATATAATTGTTAACATAATGCTTTCTTTTATCATCCATTTTCTTCTTAAGGGTCTTGAGATTTTCTTCTTAGGTTTATTCTTAAGTACTTAAAATAATTACCATATGTGAAGACTTTTTCTCATTATATTTCTATTTAGCTGTTGTTGATATACAGGAAAAACTACTAGAATATATTGTCATTATATCTGATAGTTGCTAAATTTCCTTCTTCATTTAACAGTCTGCCAAGTCATTTCTACCAGGTTCCTATTTTACCAGCTGTTACTTATTTATTTTGCTTGTCTCATTGAATTGCCCAAAGACTGCCAATGAACCTAATACATAGTATCTATTAGTAAAAATACTTGTCTCATTCTCAACCTAAATGAAAATGTTTCTAATGATCCACTAATAAATATGGCACTTACAACAAGTTTCTGATAGATACTTTTATGAGGTTCAAGGAATTTACTTCCTATCTTTCCCATGAATAGCTGGTGAATTTTAGTAAGTCCTTCTTGGGCATCTGCTGAGAGAATCATACATTTTTCCCTTTACCAGAGCAGTAAAACATAATTGTTAATGCTGAACCATCCTTACGCTCATAAGAGAAATCCATCTTGGGAGGTGAAATGACTATGACTTTTCTTTTCTTGTTCTATGGAATTTCAGTTAGGCTTACTTCATAAAATGAAACTTCATGTTTTTCTGTACTCTGGAACAGGTTTGCTGTACAAGTCATGAATTATCTGTATCTCAAAGATTTGTCAGAATTTCCTGCAAAGTCTTTTGGGTCTTTATCTTCAGATAAAGATCTTTGGCTACAGGATTAAAAGGATTCCTCAAAATTTTAGGTTTTCTACTTCCTTTTTTAGATAAAATGGTCTTCACTGGTATAAAGCTATAAAATAAAAATATCCTCTTAAAGACTCTCCTATGGATATTTGTCTCCTTTTTCAATCCTTGGGTTATTTGTGCTTACTCTCATTATTTCTAGATCAAAGATTTATCTACCACTATCCATCTAATAAAAGAATAAGCTTTGCCTTTGCTGATCAACCTTCACCAAGGGTTTTGTTTTTCCTATTTTTATTAACACATTTGTTATGCTGAGGTTTACTCTGTTATTGCTATTTAATCCCAGCACACAGAAGAACACACAATATTTTTTTTTATCTTTTTGGCTTTGATAAATCCTAATTTTATTACCAAGTTGCTATTGGATACACAATAATGCCAAATTTAGGACTTAAACAAGATCACTACATCCAGTAAAGCTATCCTTTAAAATTGATGGAGAAATAAAGACCTTCTAAAATAAGCACAAACTAAAGCAATTCAAGACCAATAAGCCAGCATTACAGAAGATACATAAATGAACTCTACATATAGATAAAGAATAAAGAAAAGGTCACAAGCATGAGAGTTCAGGACAGAATAAACTTCACAAGAAGAATAGATGAACACATGAGAATTAGGAATATCTTCAATTCAGTATGCCAGCAAACATCTAAGGTGATAAGGGAGAAATAAAACAATAAACAGAACTCCAATCAACTAAGGAAAAACCAACAAAATTACAGGAACCAGAAAATATCCCCCAATAATAAATATAAATGGTATTAGCTGTACAATTAAAAGACTAAGAATGGCCATTTAGATTCACCATATTTGTTATCAATAAGAAACACATCTCACTAGCAAAGATACACACAGACTGAAGGTAAAAGGATGGAAAATATAAACCAAGCAGGTCAAACCTCAAAGCAAGCAGGAGGAGCTATACTTATAATCTGACAAAGTAGACTTCAAGTCAAAGTTAGTCCAAAGAGATAAAGAAGGGCACTACATATCATTAAAGGGAACAATCTATCAAGAAGATACAACAACTGTAAACTTACATGCACTAAATGTGGGTATAGAACAAACACTACTGGACATAAATAGACAGATGATATAAAAATGGGTGGTGACTTCAATACCCCACTCTTGTCAAACATCATCTGGACAAAAAAAATCTTCAGAGTCAAACTGAACAATAGATTAAATGGACTCAACAGAAATCCAAAGAATACTTCAGAAATCTGTACAATACATATTCTTTTCAGCAGCACATGGAACTTCCTCCAAAATATATCATGTTTTAGACCATACAGCAAATCTTAATTAAAAAAAAAAAAGAAATAATTTCTTGTATAATAAGATAATAATGAAGTAAAATTAGAAGTCAAAAGCAAGAGAAAGTATATAAACTCAAGGAGATTAAGCAATGCACTTTTGAATGACCACTGAGTCAATGGAGAAATCAAAGAATTCCTAGAATCAAATGAAAACAAAAACACAACTTACCAGGATGTTTGAGATGTAGCAGAGGCAGTTCTAAGAAAGAAGTTTATAGTTGAGTGCCTATATTAAAATAATATTAAAAGAGATCTCAAATAACCTAATGACATACCTTAAGGTCTTAGAAAAAAAATCAAATCCAAAATCAGTAACTAGATAGAAATAATAAAGTACAAGGCAGAAATTAATGTAATGGAGACTAAAAGAAAAATCATAGAGCTGCGCACATACTTGTAAGTTAGCTACTTGGAGGCTGAGATCGAGAGGATCCTGGTTCAAGGCCAGCCTAGGTAAATACTTCATGAGACCCATATCCAAATTAACTAGCACAAAATGTACTAAAGTTGTGGCTCAAGTAGTATAGTACCTGCTTTGCTAGAAAGAAGCCCTCAGTTCAAACCCCAGTCCCAAGAAAAGATAAACAAACAATACAAATAAAAGAATACAAAGAATCAATGAAACAAAAAGCTAGTTCTTTGAGAAGATAAAACGAGATTGACAAACCCTTAGCCAAACTAACCAAAGAAAGAGAGAAGACTCAAATTAATAAAATAAGAGATGAAAAGAAGGACATTACAACAGATACCTATATGAGATTCAGAGCTATCACCAAGAACCAAGAGGATATAAACAACTTTTAAAAATTTATTAACAAGTAATGAGACTGAAGCAATAATAAGAGTCTCCTAACAAAGAAAAGTGCAGGACTGGAGAGATTTACTGCTGAATTCTATCAGACCTTTAAAGAAGAACATCAATGCTCTTCTAACTATTCCCTAACATAAAAAGGAAAGGAATGCTGCCAAATTCATTCTATGAAACCAGTATTACCCTGATACCAAAATTGGAAACAACCAAAGAGGAAAACTACAGAGCAATTTCACTGGTAAATATAGATGTAAAAATTCTTAATCAGATACTTAAAAAATTTAATAAAATTCAGACCAAATTCAGTTAACACATTAAAAAGACCATAACATCATGATCAAGTTGGTTTCATTCCAGGAATGCAAGAGTAGTTCATATAAGCAAATCAATAAATGTAATACAGCACATAACGATAAACAGGGTTAAAAACCATGAAGACACTAGGAATGGAAGGAACATACTGGAACATGAAAAAGGATATATAAAATAAACTTACCCAACATGGTACTAAACGGGGAAAATCTAAGAACATTTCCATTAAAATCAAGAACATGGTAAGAGTGTTCACTCTCTCTACTCTTATTCAATACAGTGCTTAAATTCATAGAGCAATAAGGCAAGAGAACAAAATAAAAGTGATACAAATAGAGAAGAAAGACTTCAAATTATTCCTGTTTTCACATGATATGATCCTATACTTAAGTCTCCAAAGACTCCATCAGTAGACTACTAGATCTGACAAATACTTTCAGCAAAGTAGGAGGATACAAAATCAGCACACAAAAATCAATAGCTTTTCTATACATCAGTAATGAACTAACTGAAAAAGTCAGGAAAACAATCCCATTCACAATCATCTCAAAAAAAAAAAAAGAACGAAAGAAAAAAAAAAATCTAAACAAACTGAAGAAAATGAAGACCACCACCCCACCGATGTTCATGAATTGGCAGGATGAACAACGTAAACATGCTCACTATAGATTCAATGCAACCAGCAAATTCCAGTAACATTCTTCCCAGAAATTTTTTTAAAAACTTAAAACTCAAATGAAAACACAAAAGACCCTGAACAGCCAAACCAATACTGAGCCAAAAGCACAGTGCTAGAGCTAATCACAATACTTGATTTCAAATTATATTACAGAGCCAACAGTAACAAAATCAGCATGGTGCTGGGACAAAAACAGACATGTACAGCAATGGAATAGAAGACCCGGAAATATGCCCATGCAGATATAGCCTTCTAATTCTTGACACAGATGCCAAAAATATACATAGGATAAAATATCAATGGGAAGATACTCCTTGAAAATTTTACAAGAATTCAAAGACTGTCAGTAAGAGGAACAATGGAAACTAGGATTCATTTGGTTTGGTGTTGGAAAGATTCAGAATATGAGGCTACAAACAAACAACCATGTATAAATAGACATTAAACTTTAAATATTAAAAAACACGGACTCACATCTTAAGACTATAGGGCTGACTAAGTGGCTCAAGTGGTAAGACAGCCTGCCTAGCAAGCGTGAGGCCCTGAGTTCAAACCTCAGTGCCACCAAAAAACAAAACATCTTAAGAATGTAATAGTCAAAAACTCAGGTTTTAAAATCACAAAATAATAGTTGTAGCCATGAGAATGACTGATGAGAAACAATAAATGAATTTTCTTCTTTTAAACCTTCATATATTTCAGTTTTATTATGGACTTCTCAAACAGTACTAGTAAATTGGAGTTCAATAATTAGATAATGCTAAAACTATTGACAGACCCTGTTAAAGGAAACAATCAGGAAAAGTGTTGTCCCCATCACAAAACTACTAAGATTTTATTACTTTATTACTAATACTAAAGTCTCACATCAAACAAAATTAGCAGTATGAAACCAAGAAAACAAATTTTAGCCTAGAAGAATGTTGCATCTAAATTCTACCCATATCTGGCTACAATCTGGTTTTCAACTGTGAAAAACTGATTTAACTTTCAGGGGCTGCTTCTCCAATCATCTGTAAAATAAGTACCTATAAGTGGTTTACCAACCAAAGTTAGACTATGATCTTATTTAAACAGGCTAATTAAACAGTTACTTGTGATGAATAAATATACTGATAAAAATTTCCAGCTTCTTAGCTTTGTGGTAATATAGATTATTTTAACATTCCACTATATAGTCATTTCAGCTGGCCAGCTGCATGTTTATAGCTATATTTAATAAAAAGTGAAAAGTAGCAATTATTAATAAATATGGATTAGTAAAGATCTTAAAATCACACAATCCATGGAGGAAGTAAACTGATAACTTAAAAAATCCCTCACCAACCTAAAATAAATAAATAAATAATCCCTCACCAATATTATTTTGAACTTACCACAGCATAGCATGTTAGACACCAGTCTTTCTTCAGTGATCAAAATTAAAAATAAAAATAAATAAGAAGCACACACCAAGTTAGATAATTTCTGAATTTCTGCTAAGGGTTGAAGTATATTCCCCAAAATTCATATATTGAAGTCTGAACCTTTAGTAGCTCAAGGACACTGCAGAGATAATTAAGATGAAATCATACTAGACTGAGGTAGATCCCTAATCTGATATAACTGGTATCCTAAAAAAGGAAGAAATTAGGGTTAGAGTAGTGGCTCAAGTGGTAGAACACTTGCTTAGCAAGTGCATGGTCCTGAGTTCAAACCCTGACCCCAATAAAAAGGAAACATTTAGACAAAAATACACATGAACAATACCATGTGAAGGTAATGCCAGACATAGAAGTGATGCCTCTTTCAGGCAAAGAACATCAAGACTACCAGGAAACCAACAGATGCTAGAGGAAAGGCATAGATCATATTTCTCCTCATAGCACCAGCCCTCAGAAAGAACCAGTCCTACTGACACCTTGACTTTGGATTCTACTCTCTAGAACTGAGATAATAAAATATGGTTCTGTTTTTACAACAGCTCCAGCAAACTAACATTCTTTACCTCTTACATTTATTTTTAAATGTATTATACAGTCAACTTCAAATACATAAAATTATGATGTATCATCATCAGAAAATAAATTATAAAAACTGATGATATGCAGGATATAAAAGTTAAGTGTACAAACCTGTAGTTCAGTAAGAACTGTTTTATGCCTTTTGTTACATTCAATCTTTTCCACTCGTGTTTTCAGTTCTGCCAAAGTCTTATCAAATACAGCACACTGTAGTGCACACAACTTTTCTTCTAGTAACCACTGTATAACCTAAAGAAATAAATATTCCTTTGTTATGCAAAGGCAAATCAGTAAGCAAAACACAGTAAATACTAAGTATGATAAGATAATGACACTGTGTTACCTAATTTAATGAATAAAACATGCTTAGATGATTTAATGAAGAAAATCAATCCTGTCTACTGAAATTCTCTATTTCCCCATATATGGAAGCTACCTCAAAGGATAAATTACACTAAAAACTTGAAATTTTCTAGAGTAAAATTCTGAAAATAATTTGAAGTTTTAGTATTTTCTTCCCATATCCTTATCATGCTCAAACCACTTAAAGGAAATTAAAGAGCCAGTGTTCAAAATTTTAATCTGTTATAGATTAATATTTTTATGAGAAACAGTAAGAATGTCACTGCAATATCATATTCTGCAAAACATTTCTAACTGCCTATTCAAAATTCCCGAATTACTTCATTATGGATGCACAATCTACCAGTACATACCCATGAACTACTATACCTAACTTAACACTGTTCCAGAGAAGTAAATTCTCAGTACATATTAAAGTTTTCAAAGTTCTTTCACATATTTATTTTCATAATTCTTGCAGCTCTATAAGAAGACTAAATGAGCATTATCATTTCCATATGTGGAAGAGACTGGGGGAATATATGATGTTTTTTATTGCTTTGCTATTCCTTTTCCTAAAAAGTATAGACATTAGTATTTGTATGCTAATGAGAGAACCTTCATTCATAACTTCACAACTGAGCATACAAGAGCTTGAAAAACTACTATCACCTAAGTTTCATATATGCCATAAAGGTTTGTGAACCATGAAATATTGAATATTTTCTATGTCTGGCCTGACAGATATATTGGGGGGAGGTTTCCAAAATCTTTACATATTCCCTTTCCCTAGAAAAGCCTTGTCCCTACCATTCTTAATATTAACCATAAAATATATAACAAAGATCTTAAAATGTACAGACTTACAACTATGGAACCAACTTATTTTAAAGATGAAAATATTAACAGATAAACCTGTTTCCTTTTAAGAATAAGATAAAATTCAATACAGGAAATAAAAATAAAAGCTAAAAAACTATTCAGTTTTGTTACAAAAGCAAATAATGTTATATCTCCCTTCCATTTTGATAATTATCATCTCTTAAAAAAAATCATGTGGCCAAAAGAGTCAGAGTCAGAAGGAGTTTTTAAATAACCACAGACTTCATAAGCTCCACTGTTTTTAAGTTGTCTCTATGACACACTAGGTATGTCAGTTAAACAGAATACTATCCTGTCAAAAATCTAGACTGATAAAAACAATGGTGCTTTTTAAGTTATAATTTACGACACCTTTTGAAGTTTCTGACTAATGTCTCCTTTAGCTGTAATTTTTACTTGAAATTCTGCCTCATATTCTTCTTCTATATATCGACGACGTTTGGATTGTACATTGTCCATGTCCTCTGATTTAGAACGTTTTCTTCTGGAAAATTCATCTGAAAACAAAAATAGCAAAAATTAGGTGTTTTTATTTTAGAACTTAATGTTTATTCCAGCAAAATATTGTTTCTATCACAAAAGAATTATCTACCAATTAATCTATGAATTATTTTTTAGATGAAAAAAGTAGGAATACAGCTTTTAGGGTTTTTTTTGTTATACTAGGGCGTGACCTCAGGGCTTCATGCTTGCTAGGCAGGTGCTCTACCATTTTAATCATTCTACTAACTTTTAGCTTTCAAAGTCGAATGATTTTCAGAATATAAGTAAGAATTTTCAAATGGCTAAAAATGGCCAATGTACACTACAAAACACAAAATATTCCTTCCTTGAAATTTTCATATTAAGATGAAGAACAGCTATGTCATATAGAAGGTAGAAATCATCTCAAATTCTTTTCCTTTGCTAATTCTCAGTGCACATGAATCCTCTGAAAAACATTCATTCTTATGTCACAAATTCCTATCAACTGTGTATAAGTTGAATTACTTCTTCCTCCCAGTAAGTAACAGGAAAAAGTATTACTTATCAACCTTAGGAAATAACAATACTGCAATAGCTCTTCTTAATATATCCTAATGAATTTCAAATACATAAAAATAATAAAATTAATGTCATTATAAAAGTACATTTGGGACTGGGGGAGCGTGGCTCAACTGGTAGAGTGCCTGCCTAGCATGCTTGAGGCCCTAGCTTTGATCCCTAGTACCTAAAAGAAAATTACATTTGACAAAGAACAGACATTCAAAGATCATCCCTTAAAAATTATTTCAAATAATGTTAATATTCATTAGATCATAAGAAAATTGTATCTGGTTTCTTCTAGAATACCTAAAAAATTAAAACACTAGAATCCCTACATGTTTTAAAGGCAAATGCCCTTTTTTTGACCATACCAATCCCTCTCAATCTCACTCTATAACCAAATCTAGATGTATATATTTTTTTAATCCAGTTCCATCCTACAACTGCTCTTACAGTAACAACTTACCCATGGGGTAAGAGCAACTTAACAGGGAAAATTAAAGAACCCAGGTTTTCTGACTTCTGTTCAAGTGATCTTTCTATAAACCTGACCATATTCAGTCTTAAAATTTCCTTACTCATGAAACTTAAGAACCTTAAGTAGTCCGAAATATTTACTTCCACTTCCTTTTATCAGCCCAGACAAAATTCTTACAATTCTAAACTTAAGACTAAAATAAGTTCTCTCAAGATACTCAGATAGTAACTTAAATTTAGATCTAAATCTTTGTTATGGAATACCAAATGTAAAAACAAAATAAAACATTGAAGTACATGAAATAATATGGTAAAGATTCTAGAGTTAGTCATCTACAAAGTGAGTCAATTGTGCCTTACTTAAATTGCAAAATTTTATAGTCATCTCATGAACAGAAAAGGATTTACATGGCCTTTAAAGCCAGAAACAATAATTACTATTTTTCAGATTAGTTCAAGTTTGTTTGTACATGCATACGTTTCTCAGAAGGTCTTTCATCTTCTTCATCTACTACTTGCTCTTCTTCCTCAGGTTTGCTGTCCTTTTCATTCATTTCTATTTCTGCTGTCACAAAAATAGAGAAATTTATTTCTATTGGAATTCATAACTGCTCACTAATTTACATTTTTGGTAACTACAAAGTTTCTAAGTCAAAGTCCCTGAATGTGAAATTTTGGGAAGAAAATGAAAACATGAACTAAGAGAAATGAATGAGCAAGTCCACATTCAACAGTTCTGCAATTCTTAATAAATTCAACTTGTAAAAACAATTACCAATATAGATTTTAAAGCAATTTACTTGGCAATTTTCTATTACCAATACAATTATTAAAATGTGAAAACAACTATTTTAAAGCACTTAAATTCCTCTACATTCAATTTATTAAAACTAGAATAGTGGCTGACAATTACTGAAAAAACTTAGAAACTATTGGTAAATTCAAAACAATATTTTAACTAGAAAGATACACTAAGTTGCTTTAATGGTTACAGGGCAATTCATAAACAAGGAATGTAAAGACTACTTTACATATAACAAAAACTTTACTTAGAAATAATACCAACTTTTGATAACAAACAAATAAGCTTGGTGTTTGACATACCTTACCTCATAACCTCAATATAATCCTACACTTATAGCAGTATTTTTGCCATCATGTGTAAATGAGGAAAGTAACATTCGGGAAGATTAGATATTTTTCTTAAGAGACATATTAATATAATTAATGACTGATATTAAAAAATATTGCTGAAAATATCTACACAATTACATTATGTTAAACAAATAAAATCCCAGAGGTACCAGATATGCTCTCAATCAATCAATCTATGCCCCTTCGACTAACGGAATCACTAAATTGGGTAGATCTACAATTACTAATATGTTTGAACTTCTTTTTTTTTTTCATGTGAAATTACTACAATTAGTTGGTTCCTTGTTGGCTTCAATAAAGCATAGTATGTTTTATCATGTTCTATAACTAATATTGAATAAGAAGTCATTATATAAAGATTCTGACATGACATTTGAGCCCTAAACATCAGGGTTTAATTCCAATAACCCTTATGGCAGAAATTAAGGTGAAAAAAGTTAAAAGACATTTTAGGTGAAAGGCAGGGACCAGTATCACTGATGAACCTAATAGGCTTACAAACAGGCTCTATAAATATTTTTCCACACTGAGATAAGCAATGAAACTAATACTATACATAAAGATTACTACAACTATTTTTTAACTCTGTAAGTATTAGAAAATTAACTTTCCATTTACTGTCCTTGGCTCATTATAAATGTTTTAAGATCTCAGCTCTCAGTCCACTTCAGTGAAATGCAAATTTGTTTTTGCTTCCTTTTACAAAGTTGATACACTCACTGTAACACATTTCTGTATACATTTTTCTAAATTACCCTGATTTTTAATGGTGAAAGTTTATAACTCCTAAGCATTCTAGTCCCCAGAGTTTTCAGAGACAAAGAATAACTTAGTTGTTTGAGATAAAAGACTTATTTAGTCTTTATCTGGCAAATAGTCACATCACCCAAAGCATAAAATTAGCCATGGCTTCAATTAGGATAAATGCAAGTCAGAGAACACAAAAATAAATTGGCCAGGTTTGTTCTGCTTCTTTTATGCATGTTAGTTTTCTCTCTTCTTACAGATATGTCAAGCTTAGTTTAAGGTTCCTGTATTTTACTTAAAAATCTCCTAGTACCACCTAATTCCCATTTCCAGGTAAGCTCAGAAGACATAAGTGGATTTCCAACACTTGAAACATTCACTAGATTTTTTGGGGGGGCGGGTGGGGGGTAAGGGGGTTGGTAGTACTGGGATTGAACTCAAAGTCTCCAACTTGGCTCTACCATTTGAGTCATGTTCCCAGTCCTTTTGCTTTAAATTTGTGTGCCACAGCTGGGATTATATGCATGTACTGCACTACCATGCCCAGTCCACATTGGGATTTTAGAATAGATTCATAGGATTAAAATTTATGCTAGGGTTTTACACCATGGAAAGAAGTTGGAAAAAGAAAAAATGTTATTAACAGATTCTTAAGAATGAGGCCCTATATTTAACTTTTTTGTTCATAAATGCTCGAGAAGTAGCTTAAAGTGGTAGAGCACTTGCCTAGCAAGTGTGAGTATTAGCAGCCAACTTCTTTCAACCTATAATAATAATAATAAAAGGCCCCACTACACAGACAATTTTATATATACTTTCAGGTAGTTCCTGGAATGTGTGAAACTCATTCAAATCTTTTGTAGAATATATTCTTATTTATGAGTAAGTTTTTGTTATAATTCTTCTGGTGTTGAATACAATCTTACCAGAACTTAGCAGGTATTTTATCTTCTATGAATACAGCACTAGTCTTTCAGCAAGACTAGACAATAAGCTCACTAAAGGCAAATACCAGATCTTGATTTTGATAACCCTAAAAATTTTGAGAAAGGGCTGAGACAAATTATATGCTTTGTATCTATGTAATGACTGTTATTTTTAATAAGTGTCATTTAGGAAGGGTGAAAAAGTGTGTTATAAAGACTAAGAAATAAAATTTACATTAGGGGATTGAATTTCCCATTTTCAAAATTGTTTTTTATAGAACTTGCAGGAAATAATGGGTAAAAATGTTTTCTTAGGTTAGGGGTTGGCAAATGTTTTTTTGTAAATGGCCCAAAAATATTTTCATCCATGGGGGCCATATACTCCTGACATAACTACTTACTTCTATCCTTTTGGTAAAAATTAGCAATAAATAATATGTAATACAGGAACAAATAGCCTTGGCTATGTTCCAGTAAAATTTTCATTAAAAATAAATGAATAAATAAACAGATGGGAGGACTTGAGGAGTGGCTCAAGTAGTACAGCACCTGCCTAGCATGCATGAAGCCCCAAGTTCAAACCCCAGTACCACCAAAATAAAAAAAAAAAAAAACCAAAAACACAGATGGGGCCCTTGCTTTAGACTACTGGCTCCATGAAATAGTTAAAAGAAACAAGAAATTCTTACAGACTAGTTAAAAGACAACACACCCGTTAGAAAAATGGGTAAAGGAAGTAAGTAGGTAATTCATCAGTAAATAAATACAAAAAGCCAATGTAAAGAGTCTCAACTTTACAAAATTTATCAGAAAAATGTGGCAAGAGATAATATGACTTCTCCAGAAGTAAAGCTTTACTTAACCAAGTAAAGTTGTGAATATACTCTTCTACAATCTCCAAAGTGAATTTTTGTGTTCCCTTGCTGAATGTAACTTGGGGAAAAGTTACATTTTTTTTCCCCTACAATTCTCCTCTCAATTCTCTCTGACACCCAAATCTAGTCTTCCACTACACATTGATCAAAACTGCTCCTTGTCAAAGTCACCAAAAATCTACAGGTTGTTAAATAGCTCTCTTTCATCTAACTTGACAGCATTTGACAACATAAACAGTTAACTTAGTCTCCCCCTCAAAACATCCTCTTTCTGCTTCTAGAACACCAAAATCTCTTAAGTTTTTTTCCTACCTCTACAATTCTTTCTCACTCTTTGCTAGTTCTGTCTCATCTCTAAATACGGAAATGCAAGAGCTGGGTTCTTAGATCCTCTCTTCTATATTTGTAATCACTGAGGCAAACTTACGTTGTCATTCAAATTCAACTAATGTCTATATGCTATCTACTACTAAATATACACTATACATTAGACTATATTTTGAAATCAAGACAGGTATCTATCTAATTTAAGCAACAACAGTTATTTGAAACTTACCTTCCTCCTACACTCTCATTTCCAAAAACCTACTTCAACATTGGTTATAACTCAGAAAACTTTTAATTGCAACTATGCCTAGCATTGGACTGAAAGGCTCCATAAAGAAAAACAAAACACAGAAGAAAAAGTTAAATATAAATGAGGTTAAGAGAAGAATTTTAGCTAAACACAATAAATAGTGACAACAAATTGTCAGTAAGTTTTAATTGACTAAATCATGACAATTCTATCACTACTAACCTAAGGCAATAACAGAAGAAAACTCTGAATCTTATTGCCATGCAATTATCTTCATTGGAAATATTTTGTGCTCGTTTTATTTATCTTAAAACATCCAACAAAAATGTGAAACCTATATCTAAAAAAAACTGAAAACAAAAAATGACTGGCTCAAGTGGTAGAGCACCTGCCTAGCAAGAGCAAGGCTGAGTTCAAACCCCAGTAGTGCCAAAAAAAAAAACCATTTTAAATAATAAATTTGCTAAAAAAAAAGTGGTCAGGACTGACAGGTTTATGTTTCCCTATTAGTACACCACATACATGGTAGTAGCTAGAAGGAAAAGCCAGTACTGTCATCAGACTTGAGACTCTAGTTTATGATTCTGTGTCCTGAAGACATACAGTCAAGAATGAAGAAATTATGGCTGGGGAATGTGGCTAGGAGGCAGAGTGCTTCTGAGCATATATGAAGCCCTGGGTTCAATTCTCAGCACTAGGTGGGAAAACAAAGGAATTGATGAAAAGTAACACCTTGCAGTAATAGATTCTGAAGGTGGTGCCGAAATGATTTCCAAATGGATTAGATATGAAGTGTGTATGTAGGAGAGGAACGGTACCAAGGCTGCTGGCCTAAATAAAATGGCACTGCTATTACCAATAATATGACCACAAAAGCAACTAGGATTTTTCTTACTCTGTTTTTCTCAAGGAAAAGTAAAAGAGATGGGAAAGGTAGGTATTCACAAAATCATTAAGTTTATACATCTTTTATATAAGGGGTTTGGAATTAACCTAAAAGTATCCGGGATTTCAAGGGGGAGATCACTGAGATGAGGGAAAGATGTTAGGTTCCAGAATCAAGAGGGCTGAAGAAAGGAATGAATAGATAATTAGGCTTCAAGGTTTCAGCTTTTAATAATGGTAATGCCATGAGAGAGAGAGAGAGAGAGAGAGAAAGTGTATGTGTTTAAAAACAGTACTCTAGTGCTGGAGGTGTGGCTAAGCTGTAGGGCACTTGCGTAGCAAGTGTGAAGTTCTAAATTCAAACTCAAGTAAGTACCATAAAAAAAAAAAAAAAGATTTTATTGGTAAAATTAAAAATGTGACTTGTTACACCTGAAGTAAATAAATGAGCAGTCCTTTAGGTTCTTATTTGTTCACTAAGTGATAGCAAAAAAGAACAGCTGCTAGGACTTTGATCAATTAATTACATTATGATTTAAACTGCTGTCAGAATATTATGTTAGTCTACCTTATTTATATTCCTAGATTAGAAGCCTACTTGATTTGATGCTGCTCAGAGAAAGTATTTTTAATTATGAATTCTATAAACTTAATCTCTGAGGAGATCCCTCAACAGAGTCACCACCATTTTCAACCTCCTCTGCAACTAAAGAAAACCTAAAACTATCAGAATGCTTTATTAAATAGTTCATTAAAATGGTTAAATAATCAGCTAACCTGGAGAGCATGTCTGGGTTTGTGATATAACTTCAGACTCATCTTTTTCACATGAAATATCCTCTTCATCAGAGAGGACCAAAAAGGCTTCCTTTGGCAAACTCTCACTACTTTCTTGTTTTGATGGTGAACCAAAAGAACCTTCCATTTTCTCTTCCAAATCTGGATTTGTCTCTTCAATTGGGAGCAGAGAAGTTTTACAAAAGCAAGTAAGTTCATCCTCAGTAGGTGCAAGTTTTTCCAAAATAGGAATTATTTCATCTGTCTCCATAGAATCTGCATTTTCTAAGATGTCCTCCTTTTTGTCATCTTTTACAACATTTTCACTAATGGTTTCTACAAGATCTGAAGATTTTTCATCTTTATTCTTTTCACCTTGATCAGTTTCCATACTGCTAGATATAGCCTCTTCTCCAAGAGCAAGCTCTGTGATAGGATCTTCTTCTACCTTCTTTCCATTTTCAGGAGGTAGATCTGAACAAATAGTTCTACCCTCTGTTTCTGGAGTTTCTTCATTACCATTAATATTACTATCAGCTTTACTTTCCTCATCAAGTGAGTCCTTACTTGGAATTTGGTCTAACTTTTCATTGTCCTCAGTTTTTTCAAGGAAATTGTCATCTTTATGGCTACTTTGCTCTGTATTGTCAGTTTCAGGAACTGGTTCACAAACTGACACAGAACTCAGCTTAAAGGTGGGCTCAAAGGCTGATTCAGAATTCAGTTCATCAGAAGTCAATTCACCAGATGTTAGCTCACCAGAGGCCACTTCACCAGAGGCCAGATCATCAGTGGCCAGTCCACTATTGGCAGGATCACCAGCAAGAAGATCACCAGAAGACAGATCAGCAGAAGGTGGATCACTAGAGGCTGGATTATCAGAGGCACAATCACTAGAAGCTGGTTCCTCAGAGGCCAGTTCAGCAGAGGTCACTACACCAGAAATTGGTTCTCCAGAAACTGGTTCATCCAAAACTGGCTCACCAGAAGTGGAATCACCAGAGGCAAGATCACTAGAGCCAAGATCACCAGAGGTGGGTTCCTCAGAAGCAGGATCACCAGATGAGGGATCACCAGATGAGGGATCACCAGAGGTGGAATCACCAGAGTTTGAGTCAACAGGGGCAGAATCATCAGAGGCCAGTACTCCAGAGGCCAGATCTCCAGTGGCCAGATCACTACAGGGTGGATCACCAGAAGCTGATTCAGTAGTCAGTTTAGAAGCTGGTTCAGAAGTCACATTATCAGAAGAAAAAGGCTCACAATTTAAATCCTCATCCTGCTTGTTTTTTACATTAACATTTAGGTTACAAGGTATTTCTTTCCATTCTGTTTTACTTTCTTCAGGGTCAAAACAAATCTCATCAATGCCATTCACTTCTTCCTTATCTTTAATATAATCTATATTTTCCAAAGGTGAAGTTGGGTCCAAATCTCCATTTTCATGGTTACCATTTAAAAGTCTGACATCAGTTTTCAACAATTCTTCTTTGACTTTGTACACAACTTCGAGCTGCTGACGATCACTTACTCTCATTGTTTTTCGAGCCTTGAAGACTTTTTTCTGAGGTTCTTCTATATTATCCATTTCGAATCTTTAAAAAAAGACAGAAAGAGATTAAGAACTGAATCAAGTCACCTAATTATAGAATAGCTGCAAATTGAACCAAGCAGTACACAACATATAATTGAAATGACATATAGAACATTAATAATTATTGCTATGTATTAATTTTCATATTACATAATATAAAAGTGATAAAGGGAATAGTCCATATAAGATAAATTACCAGGAAGAAAACAGGAAAAAAAAAAAAAAAAAAGAAGAAACTACTTTTCATTTTCAATATAGGATTCAGAATCTGGAGATATAGGGGCATGACAAAGTAGATGAAGAAAATGAGAAAGGACTGAGGGCATGGCTCAAGTGGTAAGCACAAGGCTCTAAGTTCAAACATCAGTATCACCAAAAGAAAAAAAGAAAAAGAAAAGTATGAGAATAGAAAGAGTTGGAGAAAAGAGAAGATACACAGAATAGAGATAAGGAAGAATTAAGGAACATGTACAGATAGATGACATTTGTAACCAGGCCTAAGTAGATTAACTGAACTATAAACATATTAGTAAGAGATTACTATCAAAAAGTAAAGACATGGTCAATTAACAATTTTAATATTCTTTTAAAAACAAAGTGAAGACAACTCACAAAATGGGAGAAAATATTTGTAAATCATATACCTGATAAGATACTTATATTTAGAATACATAAAACACATAAACTGTTTGTTTATATAAAACAAATTGTTACAACCAATAATTTTTTTCCAAAGAAATTCAATTTTAAAACAGGCAAAGGACTTGACTAGGCATTTCTACAGAGCAGCTAATAAGCCAGTAGTATATAACTAATAAATATGAAAAAAATGCTCATCAGGGAAATGTAAATATAAACTATAATTGGTAACACTTCACAGACCAGGACAGCTATAATCAGAGAAAATAATGACTGCTGGGAAGGTTGTGGAGAACTAAAAACCTTTATTCAATGCTGGTGGGACTCTAAAATGGTGCAGCTGCTTTGGAATAATGGGCAGATCCTTAGCATATTAAATGTACAGCTGTAATTCAACTTAATAATTCAATTCTCTAGGAATTGAAACAAAAACATAACATATGTCCATGAGAAAAGTTGTCCACAAATACTCACAGCAGCATTACTCATAAAAGCCCAATACTGAAAATAACCCAAATGTCCATCAACCGAGGGCTGGATAAATTTGGTATATCTATACAGCGGACTATTATTTAACCATAAAAAAGGTGTGTGCTGATATATACTATAACAGGAATGAAACATGAAAATAAGCTGAGGGAAAGAAGCCAGTCACAAAAGGCTATATATGAAGGACTTCATTTATGTGTCCAGAATAGGCAAATCTATAGAAACAGCAAGGTTAGTGATTAACAAGGGTATGGGGAAAAAATGAGGAGTGGCTGTTAAAAGTTACAGAATTCCTTTGTGGGGTAATGAAAATGTTCTAATATTGACTGTGCTTATGGTTACACAATTCTCTGAATACAAGGAAAACCAACTAATAGCACTTTTTTGTTTTAGTTGGGATGGTGGAATAGCTCAAGTGGTAGAGTACCTTCCCAGCAAGTGTGAGGCCCTGAGTTCAAACCCCAGTACCACCAAAAAAAGAAAAAGTCTTTTGTTTTGTTTGGATACAGGGTCTCACTAACCACCCAGGTTAGTCTTGAACACATTGGGTAGAACAGGCTAGCCACCAACTCATGATCCTACTGTCTTGGCTTCCTGAATGCTGGATTTCAAGATATGCACCATCACACACAGTGTTTTGTTTTGTTTCTGTACATTTTTATGAGTGAATTGTATGTACGTGATTATATCTCAGTAAAACCGTTAACAAAAAAGCTGAAGTATGTGTATTTGTGTGTGACTATATTCTCTAGTTTTGCTAGATTTCTATCATTCTCATTTATTTATCAAAGAATGGACTTCTATCTTGGCTGAAATTTCTGTTTTACATCTGCTTCCTACTTTCACTGGTTTCTTCTCTAGTATTTCTTTTCTCTTATGTTTTTGAATGAATTTAACTTAACACCACTTTTTACCTTGTGGTTCAAGTTTAATCATTAGTTTTCAGTCTTTCCTCTTTTGTAATAAATACAAATAAAGCTATAATAAGAACAGCTATTTAATTGCATCTTACATTTTGATGTGTCATATTTCCATTGTTATTCCGAAATATTTTCTGATTTGCACTGTGATTTCTCTTTACAGCTGAGTGACTTAGCATTCTGCTTAAGAGAATAATACATAAACCCCAGGAGGACCAAAAAAAAAATAATAATAATAATACATAATTACCAAATGAAGTTCATTTAGAAAAATACAAGGTTGCTTTTACATCCAAAATTCAAGTAATGTTAATGATGATCAAGTCATGAAACATTTTGGCTTTATATCATGCCCTCCACAGTGCCCAGTTCATAAATTTTGCCTAAACTGGATGAATATTTGGTATTAAACTATTATTGGTTGAACAGCGTAAGAGCTCACCACCCCTCCATACACGAGTCCTAAATCCCAGTATCTCAAAATGTGTCCTTATTTGGATTAGGTCTGAACAGAGGTAACTAAATTAAAATAAGGTTATTAGGGTGGGCCGTAATTCAGTATGATTAATGACTTTATAAAAAGGGGAAAATTTGAACACAGAAAGAATACCATGTGAAGATTGGAGTTACACTGTCACAAATAAAGGAACTACCAGAAAACAAGAAGAAATGCTTAGAGCAAATCCTTCCTTAGTATCTTCAGAGGAAGCATTACATTAACAAATTTCTCTTAAATAACTTTGATATTCTATATATGAATTATATAATTCAACATGTAAAATTCATGTTTAATATTAAATTGCCACCACCAAATAACATTTAATAAAAATAAATACAACCCAAGGCAAGGGACTTTAGCAACAAAACTATTAAATTCATAAATTATAAAGTAATGCAAAAAGAGCAACCAGTAAGTACCATCCATACCCACAAGGGAGCACACTACAGCCATTTACTACATCTTTTATAGGTTCTAAGTATAATGAAAAACAGACAAAACAATAAAGTAGCATGAGCAACCAGTTCAAACTAGTTCGGCCTTATCAGTGCAAACCAATCAGCAATTTGCTTTTAGAAATCTATTTTGCATAAGCAGTGCATATTTAAGAGAGATACACATTAGAGAAGGTTGTGCACCTTCAAATAAGTTTTCATGGCTGTGTTACCAGAACAAGGTATTTCTAAAGATCACTTTAAATTTTGTTGTCTGTATCTAAAATGCCGTTCATAAATCTATTCTATAAAATAAATGCTACTTTTTGAGGTGGCAATACTAGATAGAATCAGGAGGCATTCACATGATTATTAACTTGTTTTCACATTTATATTTTACAGCAGAAAATGTCTGCCATATTTAGAAGTAAATGCAAGTCATAATGAACTAGTACTTTTTTCATGAGAGTCCAAAAAATATTTTTTAAGTGTTTATATATTTAGATACAAGAATTTTGAGGAAGGAAAGGAACATTTTTTTTCTATTGGAATTTATGTTTAAATAACAATAGATAAGTGTGTTACCCACAAACATGTCTCTACGACCTATAAAAAAATTTTTTTAAGTATTTGGTAAATTGTTTTTAGGGATAGCCCAATGAGTGTCTAAATGACAACATTATTTTCTTCTCTGCTTCATCCCCCTCCACCCACTCCTTTTACTCTTCTTTCTAGCAAAGAGATCATAGCTTTGAAACAACAAAAGGAAGCTGTTTTGTCCTTAGCCTACAATCTGCCTGCTCACAGAGCTCAAGAATTTAAGTGGCTGTTCAAGAGCTGCTCACAAACTCAGCGAATCAGCAGCCAGCTTTCTGATTCCTGCCCAGCAACAGGAGACAAACAATAAGATCAGAGAAACAGTTAAACAAAACCTGGACCTAAAATACTTCAGTGTGGTTCTTTATCTGAAATAAGTACTCTAGAACATAGTTTGCATAAAATCCTAAATCCATGACACACTTTAAATATACAGCATAAATAAATTAGGTTTACACCTTTTATGCTACTTTATCTTTCTTTAATAAATGTTTGTGAATGTTTCTAGAAACATAAATCAACTTCCTACCTGAGAAATGAGTCAAACACACACTATATATAAACATACTTTTCCACATTAAGAATCTACAAAATTCAAAGATATATTTCATGTAAAAGAGTCACAGTTCTTACATTTATAAAACATCTATAACTACAAATATGGCAAAACCTTAAAATCCAAAAAATTAACAGTAATATTTTTCATACCCACCTACCACTATTGTTATAAATTTCTAATTCCAAATATCAATAGTATTCTGAGGCAGAAAGATTATTACTATTAAAGAATGGCAAAGTGTTGTATTGTCTACTGCACTGAACTAAGTCTAATTCATATGAGACTACTATGTCTGATTCTTGATGATTTATTTTAATTGGTATTAAGTATACTAAGTACAATTAACTGCCTTTCCTAACAGGTTAACAGTTTTAATGAGTTTTCCTTTTGAAGCAATAAAACAAATGTGTGGATTATACATACATTTATACTTCTACAGTTTTTTAAATGAAATTTATTACTAAAAAACAGAAAATCTGTGATTCGGATATATTTTTTCTCAAATCCACTACTTATTAGATTTTCTTAGTTAACACATTTTTAAAGTAAGCTTCATTTTTCCCCTTCATTTCAGATGAATCTTGTAATTTTTCAAACATACCCCAAGAGGGAGCTTGCTGCAGTCATACTCTTAGTTTATATAATCTCCTCATAGGAAAAATAAACCAGCAGCAGCTTCAATGCTTCTGTCCTGTCCTGTGAGAAAACTGAAATTCACTGTATGATTGGCTCAAAGCTGTAGCTTACTAAAACCAATCAGACATCAGTATCACAAACCTTACCCAGCAACAAGAGGAAGTAGATAAGGGCAAGTGCTTTACCAAGAATGCAAAGGGTGTGAAAATAAAGGTGAATAATGAAATTAGAATATATCAGTATTATAGCCCCAGATGTTCTGTTTTGAATAAGAGGTATATTTTGAGTAAGAGGTCTATAGTAGTTTGTTGTTTCTTTTAAGTAAAATAGGGTTTGTTCT